ACAACATCATCTTGCAAACCACACTCTTCTCTTATCACACAATTTTTCACCCTGTCATTCAGATTCAGCCAATTTTGAGCAATTTTGAGCAATTTTGAGGAGCAATAGTTATTACTAATCTTTTTACTGCTATTCCTTATTTAGGAACAATATTAGTAAATTGAGATTGAGGGAGATTTACTGTTTATAATGCTACATTTATTATTTTAATATTTACCTACTGGGTAGGTAATTATTGAAATAATAAATGTAGCATTAGTAACTAAATAGATATTTTTTACCCAATTACAATAACTAAGGAGGTATTGTGATTATTTGTGATTAGTAATACTGGGTGGGTATTAATAAATAGAACAAAATAAAATATAAGATAAATAATAAATATATTAATAAATATATATAAATAATTTTCACTACAATCATCGTTTACTATTACAAATTGTTGGTTACATAATTGGCATTTAAACGTAAATTTTGACTCTAAGCCTTTTGTGTTTGTTGTTTTGTGTGTGTTTCTCCGATAAGTTGTAGTTCGGTGAAGCTGCAACCTAATGGACCATGATTTGAAATTTTTATGAAAAGAAGTGGTTGACGTCAATTATTATTCTTCTTATTATTTTTTTAATTACTGCCTTTTTCAGTCAATTATTATTCTTCTTATTATTTTTTTAATTACTGCCTTTTTCAACCTCACAAGATATTTGTAACTGCAAAAAAGAAAACAACGTATAAGTAAGTAAGTCAGTAATATAGTGTTATGTATGATTCAGACTAAATAAAGGTTCCTAAAAATAGACGTAGATAAGGAAATTGCGTAAAAAAATTACTCAAATAAAAATGCAATAAACTTTTTAATTTTATAGGTAGTAACATATTAAAATAATAAGTTTTTTTTTTGCGATATTTATGTAAAACATAAAGGTTATATTATGTTCTAACTACGTTCACGCTTGCGCATATAAAATCGCGGAATTTCACTAGTTTTATTATCAAAATAATAATTGACAACCCTACTTTAAGTTCTAAATTGCCTTGATTTTAACAACTCAAACTTGTTTTAGAAGATCAAAACATAGACAGAAAGATAGGAGACTATTTTATTAATAAAAGAGAAGTCCACCAAAGCCAAATCACCCCCAAAAAGATTCTCTTCTTTCTCTACACTCACCATAATAAGCAGCATTAAGCTACTATTTCACTTTCTTCCTATATAACGCACATGGTCTAACGTAATTTTTTAAATTATTTAATATGGTTCATCAAATCCGTAAAAATAGTTTAAAATACTCACGCAATAAAATTTTGAAGGGCAGATAAAATATCTGCGACCAACATTTGCACAATTCTGACGTTCACAGACGTTTCACAACTTTTTGCCAGAACCAAAAATAAGGGCTGGCATGCGACAAAAATCGTACCATAAATAAAATAAAGACTCCAGCTCGATATGAGAGGAGACGTGGTAGCTCAGATGGTTAGCGCTCGCTGAAATTTTCACAGTGCGCGAGCAAACCGGGTTCGATCCCCGCCAGCACCAATGAAATTGTAATTGCAATTTTAAGTGTTTTTTTACCACGTGCTCAGCGGTGAAGGAAAACATTGTGAGGAAACATGCATGTCTGAGAAATAAGAAAAAAAATATTTCGAAGATATGCGAAGTTCGCCAACACACATTGGGGCAGCGCGGTGGACAATCCCTTGCCCTAGGACCCTTTCAGAAATGAGCGGAGGCCTGTGCCCAGGAGTGGGACGTATATAGGCTATAACTTTAACTTTAACTCTAGCTCGAATAGCCTACTAATGAAATTCAAATGATCGGTTTAGACAAAGTAAGGCTAGGTAAGTCAAATTAGGGCATTTTACGGTACTTACTTAGATATCTTTTACCTAATCACAAGCACAAGTGTGTATCTAATCACAATACACAGTACACATTTGTGCACCATAATATCTACAAACCAAAAAATTAAATAAACAAACCTTTACATCTTCAACCATTTCAGTTGAACAAGACAGGTATACTGTAATTCTATAGTTTCTTGACTCAAGTCGTTTACTGCCGTATCGTCATTGTTCGTATTTAGCCTGCAATAAAGAATAAATTATATTAGATCTTGCATGACAACAAAACGGAATTACTTGAAATAAATCATTTAGATACATATTTTAGCTATATATTTGAAAAGGTTCATATTATTTATAATATGGTAACCACAAAAAATATCACATTAAATTTCATAAATTCTGGTTCATCATCATCATTACAACCTTTCACAAGTCCAATGCTGAACATAGGCCTCCCCCAAGTAATGCCACAAAGCACGGTCCTGAGCCACCTGCATCCATCGACTTCCTGCATATCTTACCAGGTCGTCACTCCATCTAGTGGGGGGTCGCCCTACACTACGCCTACCGGTACGAGGCTGCCACTCGAGAACCTTTCTTCCGCATCGGTTATCGGTTCTTCGAGCTATATGGCCGTCCCATTTCCACTTCAGCTTACTAATATTCTGGTTATAATTTCATAACTCTATCGACTGAAAAGTGCGCCCGACTTACCCATTGTCATTTTCAATTATTGGTAAACTTGAATAATTATTTTTGTCGTCAAATTCGCATTCAGGTATTTTTCTTCTCCTAAAATAAAAATATATTATGTAATAACACGTAGGAATTTAACGGAATAAAAGTAAGTGAACTTTGCATAATACATCAAATTACTTACAGAATTTCATTCATCATTAGAGCATTTTGACGTCGTTGACGTTTATTCTTCTTGAATTTAGGCATTTGCACTAATCAATCCACAAAATTATATTTTCACATTATCACAATCGTAGCGTCTTTTTGTGGTAAAAACTGTATATATTACTCTACTCTATGGGTAAAAAATACGTAAGCGCATCGGTTGGTAGGTACCTACTCAAATAATATTATGTTTGCGACGAGCGATAGAGCCACCTCGTACGAACGCATACAGCGTAATGCCGCCCGCACTCTGCTCATGCGCACGCCCCTTTATCATAGAATTCACACAATTTTTGGAATTATTTCAATTAAAAAAGAAAAACGAACTTAAAAAATTAAATAAAACGTGGAGATATAGACTTAAATTATCTATCCATTAGTGTAATCCTCAAATGATTAGAGCGTTGCGTTTAGCAACGGATGCCATGTAAAAAAAACATCAAGAATTTTAGTCATTTTTTAAAAGTTGATTTTAAATGTATTTATAGCACTAAAACAATTTAGAACGTGGAATGTGATGATAAGATATCGAACATTAATAATGTGCTTTTAGATGTAGTTTATTTTTCATAACTAATGAGATAATAGAGTCTGAAAAAAGCACTTTCGCAACATTTTGGTCAGGGATACACCTTAAGTGGTTTTTGTAAAAGAAAAAATAATACATTTGTTAGTTTTGTCTATCCACCATGTTTTATAAAAGGATTTTTCAATTTGCGCGGGAAGATTTTGGCGGCCCGTGGTGGCCATATTATTTTGGTGACATCTATCAAATCTTTTGTTTATTATCCAGTTACTTAAGACAAATCATCATGGCAAGTTACGTGATTGAAAAGCACCTTCTAATAATAAAATTTTAGTATCAAAATGAGTATTCGTTAGTGCAAACGTTGCGCGCATTGCGCCCATTTTACGGTAGATGTTGTGGCCCTACACAATCGATGTTTTCGTTTACGCCGAGCACGTGGTAATTCAGCACTTAAACTTGTAATGAAATTGTCATTGGTGCCGGCGGGGATCGAACCCGCGTTGCTCGCGTACTGTGAAATTACAGCAAGAGCTGAGCACTTGAGCTACCATAGCTCTTTTTTCGGCTGATTTAATTACGTATTTACTTTTATATAATCTACAAAACAAGGTGATACGTAAGTTCTTCAATCTTTTATAGTCCACTGCCGAACATAGGCCATAATATTGCATCATAAGGGGGATATTTACCACAGTAGTCACGGTAGGCGCCCATAACTCATTAGTCATTAGGAAGACGCTTCTGTTTAGATTCTTTTTCTTTCATTATTATGGCGGTTTTGATCATTCGCCAATATCAGCGTGAGTGGTTATTGAGTAGAAGCTCAGTAGATACAAATATGCCCATGTACAAAAGTAGATTGTGATAATATAATTATCATATTATCTTTAAACCAACATTTTCCTTTTTTAAATTCTAATGATGGTACTTTTGAATTACCTATAACAAATCGCACCTTCATTTCGAAACCGTTACAAAAAAAAAACTAAATTTTACAGGAGAGCTAATTTACGATTTTTGCATTACTATTTAGGGGAGAGGGGGGCATAATGGAAACGTTAAGTAAAATACACAGTAAAATAATCAACGCAATGTATTTATTAATTAAAACTAATCACAACACTAGTTACTTAATAAACTATCATTTGGCATAGAATTTGGTGATGTAAATAATCATATGACGTTATTATTTAAATTTTTTAAAACTATAATTAAATCCCCATCGTGCCCCAGGGTAGGGGCAGTATGGGGTACGTATTTATTTTGCGTCACAGTACAAGCAGATGTGGATTTCTTCTGTACTGTCGTCGTCTACATCAGCACTGTATGAGCCCACCGTCCTCATAGTTGGCAAGCCACCCAACCTTCCGAAGACTTTAAATAAGCGTGGTTCACGTCAAGGCAGTACAGGCACATGGTATCCTCGTCGGTATTCTCTACACCAGAGGGAGCTTTTAGTGTCTACTGTTTCTTAGAGTTCTTCTTTAACTTGGGGTCATTTGGATTAGAACACTTCTTCATTCTATTAAGTTGTTCTCGTTATTATAACTCAATTTTGTAGGGGGTTGAAGTGAGAACAACAGTTTTCCCTCGGCGATAGTTTTTTCTTGTTTTTCTTGTTGGTTTCTTTGTTCGACTGTCGGGATCGCGAGAATTTCTTGCAGCGAAGCATTTGCAAACGAAATTGTCAAATAACGGCATACTTCTAGAATCGCAGATTGGATTAGGCTATGTTCATTAAATGTTGATAGTCCAGGCTGAGGCTGGGTGTTGTCAAAGCAGGCAAATCTGCATCAAGTGGATGTTCTTCAAGGATAGGTGGCGGTGGTTGTTGCTGAATTCCGACATTTGAAGGTCCAGTTTCAGACCCATTGTTTGCTAGCGGTACGTCTGTGGTTGATGCAGCTGAAAAATCTGAATCTGTAAAGTTATTCTGATTGAAAGGCCATATGCCACATTTATGGAAGGCATTGATAGCTGTAGACACTGTTACAGCTTAAATATATGCAGTTGCAAATATTTCGCTTATTTGAAATGTTGTTACTATTCGCCCCGGGTGTGACCTTAAACAATTAGAGCAGGCTTGGTCATAGTATACACTTAAAGGTTTCATAAAGCCAACATCTAAAGGTTGGAGCCTATGGGTGCAGTGCGGGAGAAAGCAAAGCATTACAACGTCATTTTTGCGTGCATATTCAATAACTGATATGTTTTGCGTATGTGGTACATGGCCATCTAAAAGAAGCAAGGCCGGGTTAGTTATTGACGCACCACAAAACTTTACAAACCGTTGGAACCAGCTCATAAATATTTCAGTTGTCATCTATCCTTTAGCGTTGCATTCTGCTGTCGTCCCTGGAGGAGCTCGATCCAGCAACTCTTGCTTCACTCTGTCGAGGAAATATTAGTGTAGAGGGCATGTAAGTTGCTGATGCATTAAAACATACCTCAAACGAAACTGTCTGCCCACGTTCTGCTAAAAAAGCGATCCTAGCTGTTTTCTCTCCTTTTCTGCAATAATTTTGCTTTTCGTTTTTGAGACGCATGATATGCCAGTCTTGTCGCAATTAAAATTCGGTCTGGCGTCAAATTATATTTGCCATATATTTTCCCGAGCAGAGAATAAAATTTACCCACAGCCACTTACATTTAAGACATTACATTAAAGCCCATTTTGGCAGCTCGAGCTGTCGATGTAGCTTCCGGTTTTCGAATAGATAAATTTAGGTGGCGCTTTAAGAATCCCTCTAACCAATCTACGCCTTCTTACTTCTACCAATCTTTTTATCATGATTAAAATTGTGAGCTTTACCATTTTCTTTCGCTAGCTGATAAGCTAGCTTCCGTAGGACGATAGTAGTTAAACCAAACAAACGTTTCTCCATTTCTATAATGTACCTTACCAGCTTCTCTTCTTCTTGTTTGGAAAACACGGGCTTGAAGTTACCTGGAGTGGAGTCGTGAGACAGCTCGCTTTTTCTTATTTTAGCGACGACGTGACGCTCTAGTGTGGTATGTGGTACTCTAGACAAGTGAGCTGCTTTTCTATAGCCAGCAGTTTTGCTTAAGACTGCATCAATTGCCTGTTTCATGTTTTCCATGGACCAAGTCTCGAACTTTTCTTATACGTCCGTACCATTTTTATACCTAAAGCAAAATATTTTCTATTATCAAATGAACAAGAACAATCCTTCAGTTAATTTACAAAACAGGGACATAATGCGGACAACGGTTGCGGGGCATAACGGGGTACCTCATCGTACCCCGTAAGCCATGTCCCCGTTATGCCCCAATCCTCAGATTATTTATAATAACAAACCAAATAAAATGAGTGACGGTTAGAGTATTTTTGTTCAAAACATAACAATAGGTAATTTATCTGCAAAAAATAAATAAATACATGATAGCGACATTAACACTTACCTTTTTATATGCGTATTCGTAGTCACTCAAAATTACATAAAATTACGTTGAAAATCGTTCTTTGGTTAAAAAATTATAGACCGAAAAAAAAGAAAAAAAAAAAAAAAAAAAAAAATTTTAAAAATCAAACGAGTGCAGTCTAGTCGCTGGTCACTGTCAGACTCAGTGCTGCCTACAAAAAGTACTCTGTGGCGAATGCTACATGCGTGATATTTATCACGATCCTTGGATCGCGATCCAGGATCGTGGTATTTATTGAACGTGTAGTATCAATTATTGATGGATCGCGATACGGATCACAGAATTTTTAGATTTCCGAAAATCCATATCGCGATCCAAGGATCGTGATAAATATTTCGCGTGTAGTGTTGCTGCGATAGGGATCGCGTCAGTCTGCTTTGGAGAAGCGATGGAAAAGGACGATTTTTGTAGCGATGTGGGCGAAATCGCAAACGAAAGCGAGAATCCTATTTCGACTGGGCTATGTTTACAATCTATCAAAAATATTTACATGCTTTTATATTATGATTGGAAACAACACCCATATTATGGGACACATCGTGTGATGGTTAAAAACAATTGTAAGCGCATAAAGGCACTTCAGAAGTTACTACCAATTCATAAAAAAATAAAAATTGACGCTTCAATAAAAGATGTTAGAAAAAAATCGTTAAAATCGACACTCTCCTTTTTAATATTATTGTATAATAATACCCACTCAAGCTTTAACCAAGCTTTTATATGTGGTAGAGCCATGCTGCAGTTATATTAGTAGTATAGTTGTAGCACGAATGGGTCGGCTAGACCGGGGAAGGACCATGCTCATAAAATATCAGCGTAAAATAGTAGCTTAATGCTGTTGTGTTGTGTATGGTGAGTGTAGAGAACTGGAGACCCTTTTTACTGGAAACGAGGCATTCCATCTTAGTCCTCACGGGTGACAACGCATCTGCATTCTGATTCGTAATTGAGGATAGATGTAGATGTGTATAGGCTACAGCAACCACTTACTGTCAGGTAGACTGTGTGCTCGTTTGTCACCCTATCCTATTAAAAAATAAAGCTTTTTCTACATTTCGGTCCATTTTAGATATCTCTGCACTTAACAGTTTTGTGCCCAATACTGACGTGATCCGTTATGAACGTGTAGGGTGTGTCAATATGGATCGAGATACGTCACCAGCCGTTCCAGATCGTGATAAATATCACGCGTGTAGCATTCGCCTGTGGCTGCCACTTGTCAGTTTAACAAATCTGTACTGTTAATATAAAAATCTGTATAATATCTGTAGAAAGGAATAAAGAAAATCTGTATTAACAGATTCACTGTCCACAGAAAACATACGGTCTGTAGACTAAACTACACAACCAGGCTGTTTTTATCGGTGGACGTGGGGAGAACGTACTTTATTTGACGTGGACTTAACAAAACATAACCTTATATATTACAAATACTTTTGGGACATAAGGAACAAATGTGCCGTTTTATCGTAATTCCAATTAAAAAAAATATAATATCGAAACTAAAGTTACCTATGTACATTCTATTGCGTTTTCACTTCAAGCTCAACAAATAATGAATATGTAAAATAAAACGTACAATGTATTGAAAACTAAATAGTTATTTATTGAAAAAGAAAAAAGCACCGAAAAAAATCATATTATTATTATTTTTGGGAACATTGTAGACAATACGGTTTGGTACAGATGTTGCATATTTGTGAAAACCTTTTGGCTTTATTAGTGGCAGCTGCTGATGTTTCCCCTTTTTGACGAAACTCATTATAGCGTCCGGCACGCCTACGTCTAGTAATTTTGCCATATTTTCTATCCAGCTGTTTGAGAAAATGCTATGCTTGTGTGGTAGGCGGCGCCGGCGGCGCTGGTGTGGCCGGTGTCTGGACAACGTTCATACCCAAAAGATTTTTTATAATACACATTTGGGCCTGTAATAACGTATGTCGCAGTGGCTCTGTGGGTAGTCGGAATTATTGTAAACAACACGTGCACCGCACACCTGCGCATTGCACCTGCAGTGGCGCTCGTGTAGCTACTTGTCTCGATTGTATAAAACGGACGGAGCGGTCGCCGTTAAAGGAGTCATGGCTCTTGCGTGGCACGGTTCACTTGTTGTATCCCGCTACTAGCTCACCCTAGACTATTCGGATAATTAATTCGTTTCCACGAATATCAGCTATTAATTTAGTCTCAGTACGATTTATAGTTGATTACCTGTGATCCGTATATTTTGTGATTGTAAATTAATTCTATTCAACTACCTTCCTACACGTAAATTTATTCTGCTGGTTTAATTTATTGAACAAATAAACTGTATTTATGACACCCACTCCAAACAGGACATCGACAGCATTTTTTTGCACCATGTCAAAGTCTTACGAATTGGCGAATAGTAGCTAGCTAATTCCTCAGAAAGATTGATACCTTTTTTTTCGATTATTGTATTTGGTTGGGCGGCGGGCCTAGGGGTTCCCGAGTTCGATTCCCAGGTCGAGCCTTGACCCTATTGTGCGAGATGTTATACTAGGTGGCCTGTATACGCGGTTGGCTTCTTATGCCTCAACAAGATAGCGGACGTGGCACGCGGCAACCTTGGACAATGCACTCTCTCTTCCAAATCTATTGCTTGCCAAGGTTAGGATGGAATTCTACTTGAGCACATTAGGATAAACAAAATGGGGCGGGTTAACTAACAAACAAAATGCTCAAGTAGGAGCAAAATTACAGGAAACACACTTACCGGGGTGTGATTTTGATGCGGCGGACGACGCTTCCGTTGCGGTGATGCGACGTGAGGTGGGTTCTTCTGGGGCGCCCCAGAGATGCGATCCAGGCCACGAAGGTACGAAGGAAGAGAGCGGTGCGCGACGATATCTCACACTATGTGAGGCGGTTACTTCTGGGGCGCGACTCCCCGTCGCGCGAGAAAGAGCGCACGCCTTTATTGCCTCGGCTTTCCCACCAATGCACCTCGGTCGGGCGCGCGTCTTATTGGTCGAAAAAATCGCATCACCTAGACCCCTCCCCCCTTTCCCCTTTCCCCTTTCAGTGTGTACGGAAGGGACATGAGGTCAAAGGAAGGATAAACACTTGGCAAATATACCCTCGAACAAAATTAAAATACACAAATCATTTCCGCGTAACCAGTATTCCAATATCATATTAGGCTTTGGACGCGGGTTTCGACCTGTACTCGTCGTTTGTTCATCTGCATGACCAGTAGATATCATGAGCACGTCCCTCATGTCATGCCATTTTAGGATCGTCACATTATTTTCTTGGGCAGCAATTTGCTCTCCTCTCTTAAGTTTCTTGTTTTTGATTAATGAAGGTAAGTTTTTACGATTTTTCCTCAATGTTCCACAGAGATCAGTTTTACGTTGAAGCAAGTATTCAGCTAATGGTATACTTGTATACCAATTATCTGCAATAATCATTTTCCCCTGGTCCAAAAGGTCTTCAAAAAGCTCGACTATAACACTTCCAGGATTATCAAGATTGGAGATTTGAGGATCTTGGCCAGAATAAACGTTATATTTTGCAGAAACTGACGAAGAAGGCGATATTGACTATGATCATGCCATGGGTTCTAGGAGTGGTAATGGAATGGAAATAAAAATGTCGACGACAATGATGAAATTTATAAAAACAACTTGTTTTGTATTTTATAATATTAAATTAACATTTTTACTTTATATAACATGGCTATGAACGTAACAAAGTTATTTTTTATAGGATATCTTAAAAGATCATACAGCAGACTTTCATTGTATCTGGCAAGCAATTATACAGCAATTATTTACTTAAGTATAATATTATTTTGTTAGAGAAAAAGTGTTTTAATATGATTTTTATTTTATTTCGGTATTGTGTTTTTTTACTTCTACTACTTTTCATAAGCCAGTGCTTGACCACAATCCCACCTGGTGGTAAGTGGTGATGCAGCCTTAGGAGGTAAATTGCACTGTCTTAGGGTAACAAATGCCTATTCACATAGGCGAGCTTTACCACTACTAAGCACGTCAGCAAAGGGGATGAAATACTCCATCGCTTGACGTATCACATCGGTTATGGTATCCGCGCAGCTCGACGGATATTCAGACGAGAAGCAGACCTGTCGCCAAGGATAAGATGCAAAGGAATGCCGTATCTCATCCCAATCTGCTGACTTGTATCGCCACAATCGCCAGACATCGTGGAAATCGTAGTTGGGTGGGGAATATAACGACACAGATTTCACCAGACAGTGGTCAGAAGTTCCCAAAGGTGTGGTAACCTGAACATTGTACCTGTCTGGATCGGTCGCAAGCAGAAGGTCGAGACAGTTGGCTATGTGTCCATCCACATCAGGTACCATAGTTGCTTGTTGTACCAGTTGGGAGAGTCCCAGCGATGAGGCAAAATTTCTCTCCCCTCTCTTCTAGTATGGGAACAGCCAGTCCTGATGACAGGCATTAAAGTCCTCCAGAAAAACCAACTGTGCATTAGGGTACCGATTTAGAGCCACATGAGAGATTCACTGAGGTGTTCAAATAGCCTAGTTGTCTTATGTTCACCGCTGTGCGATCGATAGATACAGGAATAAATAATTTTAACAATTTCTGTGTCTATGAATACCCAGATCGTAGAGAAAGTGGGGTGTTCAAGGTGACGGAGACGCTTACAGCAGATGTCGTTGCGGACGTAAACACAGAATCCGGCGTGCTGATGGAAATTATGCTCCAATGTGTACCCAGGGTACCCAAAGTACACCGCATCTAGAGGACATCTGATCTGCGTCAATCAAGAGGAATAAGTGCGGCTTGTCAGTCTCAAAGTGGTAATGGACTGCATTGAGATTACAGTGCAGGCCTCGGATGTTTGTGAGGTACACTTTGATGGAGAGGGAGTGCAACCGCTGTACAGACTTACTCTTCTTTTTTGATTTTTTCATCATTACTGGAGTGAATAGGTTGAGAGAATGGCAGTTGGACGAGGCGTCACACATATAACCTAGGGACGCAACAGAGTCACAGCATCGATGGTATATAGCATGGAGATCACAGAGACGCCAGAATCCCTCTGGAAATCGCAACCAGGCACTCTCCTCCGGTCGCCAACTGGCATGGTGGAGCCATCCCAGGATTTTTCGTAAGATGGCGTGGCAGCCTTTCACGAGTGGCTGGCTCCTTAATTGGGCACCCAACTATCTACGGTCGGTCAGGGGTGCAACCATACTTCGGGTTCCGCTAACCTCCATCAGCAGGCACCTGACACCAAGAAACGGCCGCGTCACAATCGGTTCTTATGCGCAACGCAATTGTCTAGACCCATTCTTTCTATGAAATGGGTTACACCTAACATCATGCCGGAATATGACTTGTATCATTTGGCGGTATGTCTTTGCCAGGTGGGTGGTAACCAACCATCGGCCGGGCTTCTCACTAGTAGAGGACCAACCTACTACCGGTATTTAGTGCTGCTCGTTTAGACTAACCAGGGGATACGTGTAGGGAGTCAGGATTCAAGTAATTCCTACGGACGCGAGTAGCTTCATCCCCCCAAAATAACCATACCAACCTACCAACCTACTCACAACCATAACCCCATGACTGATAGGTACGTTAATCTACTTACTTACTGAAAAGTTTACCACACTCATCCTTCTTCGAAGTTAAATAATTACTGCAAAACACCAGGTCTTCTAAAACTTTTTCTTCTTGTTGACGTTCTCATCGGCATCAAGTTCGGTTCGGTTCAGATCGCCAAAATATTTCCAGCACGTGCTGCTTTTCGTTTGAACAAAACACTCATTGAGAATCTTTTAAGTTTATATTTCTCTATATCAGACTTCAATGCCATTATAATATTGATTTAAGTACGCGAAATTTAACTAAACTGCGAGTATGCGACGCCAGAAATGGAAAATACTTTTCCGCGGTTTATCTCAGCTAAGCTTCGACGCGAATATGCCGTGCCGTGGTAGCTGGCCAGCGGACCCACCTCCTCGCGCGGCACCCGTGGGCATTTCAAATTTCGCTCTCACTCAACTCACCGCGAAATTTTGAACTGTCAGCGGCGGCGGCGGCGCGCTACGGCTGCGTCGGCAGCGCGCACTTCTACTGGCGCACAGCGATAAAATTTTATTTAGCTTACGTGCGCGATTTATCTAATTAATAATAATTATGTAGGCTATTGAACGTCGGCAAGTAGTCAACATCAAAGGAGTGTAACTTCTGTATGTAGTACTATTATTTATTCTGTTCTTTCATTGTTGTCTAATAGCAAAAGAACTTTTTTATCTACAGTCGGTCGAACGTGGCCAACAAAAAACTTGAGCCACTCCAAGAATATTTCTCAAGTTATCCAACCTGAAAATGAGACAATTCCCCGAGTCTCTGGAGGAGAACCATCCAGTAAGCGATTTTGCGTCCTTTTACGCGCAAATATCATGAACGGTGGTAAGAATGATCCGGCAGAATTGAATCAACCGACATTAGTCGTATTTGACCACGTTCTGTGCTGGCAATGATGCCGACTTGCTTCTTTCCTTTAACGGAAAGGACTTTGGGTAGTTTATTTGCTTTTGAAGTTTGGATGCCAGTCTCATCAACATTGTAGATTCTGTCAATACAATGTTTTTCTGTTTGGTTATTAAGCAACTCATAAAATCTTTCTATTTGCGGACGGTTGAAGCCTTTAACTCTCTCTTTAACGTCGATAGCCGTAGCTTCTGACACTCTCAGAGTGATTTGTGGATTTCTGTTCAGAAATCCTGCCAGCCAATCATCACCAGCCTTTTTATTCCCTGTCCCAACTTTGTGGATACATGAGATTGTTCTTTTTTGCATATGCGTAAACGAGCGCTTTAAAGTCTTCATGTGATAATCCTTAAAAAATGCTGTCCATCTCTTGCAAATACATTTGGAGATCGCCCTCTTGTTGGCCACTGAATACTTTTCGAAATCTTCTAAGTTGAGAATCGAATATCCTTTTTTACATGGCCTACACAAAGTAGCATAGGGTAGGCTATATTTTCTTGCCGTCGGTTTCACTGGAATACCAGTATTACAGTCTGCTACTGCCAGCATCATTACGTTCTCAAGCCATTTGGCTTGATTTGTTTTTCTTTTATATTTGTAAACTATCTACAACAATATAAACGAAAAATATTAATAAAATTAGTAATTCGGATACAACTGGGCAAAATGAATACCGTATTCACTTGCCCGCGTTCGCTTTGCCCAATAATTACTTCTTGAATTTCATCTAACATAAAATCAAATTTAGAAACAAAATTTGACTAAAATTTATAGTATTTTAACACGAAAACATACAATTTATAGACATAATCAAGCCAAAACAATAACACCTTGAAATATCTTAACAAATTATCACTTTTTTTTATTTCTTTCTCAAACGATGTGCGACCGCTCGCTAGCTCTGTTTGTCAACGACTGTGAGGCAAGGGGAGAACCTCGTGGCATACGAGCATATGATAGGCGTATATTCGGACGAGTCATTTTTAATAGACACATAGTTAATATGATGAGAAAAGGCTAGTTTGGAATCAAGAATGACACAAAAATTTTACATTCTCCCTAATTAGGTTCATTATTATAGAGAATTTTTATTTCAGGGACTTGCCTATGGCAAGAGACGATCACAACATTGCTTTTGGGAACTGACAAGACAAACTTTTTTTTAAAAAAGATTAATTAACCAGTCCTGTAAATAAGACATAGCTAAATTAAAGCGGCAACAAGCTACAAGGAGGTTATCCAGGGAAATATACATATAGCTATATCGTCTGCATATTGTAGGATGTTACTAAATCAGTTAACAGAAAGTTTTAAATCATAAGTATTGATAAAATAGAGCAAAGGGCTAAGTACTGAGCCTTTTGGGAAACCCTTCCATACGATTCTTAGAGGGAGTAGATAATTTTGGCTATCAATATAAGGAGATCTAGAAGAGAGAAAGTTAGAAATAAAATTTACTCTCTCACTGGAATACTCAGATTAAGTGTTTTTTGCCTTAGAATACTAAGAAGTACATTGTCATATGCAGACGAGATATCTAGAAAGACTCCAACAAGGAATTCTTGTTTAGAGTAAGTTATACGAATATCAGTAACTTGAGGAATACCGGTCATCTATATATAATTCAAAACAGAAAGAAGATGGGCTTTCGTAGATTCACTGCTATTAGTAATTAAATAATAAGGAATTCCATCAATTCCTGGTGTAGAGTCTTTAAGAACACTAGAAACAGTATTTAACCCCACATAATAGAAAGAAACTTTTTAATACTGCAAGGACTGTGAATGTAATGATATACATTCATTGTAAGATGGCACTAAAGGAAAATACAACTTCTAATGATTAATCTTATTGGCTAAAAGATTTTGCTAGTAATAGCCAATAAGATTGATCATTAGAAGTTGTATTTTCAGAAGCCAAAACTAAACATCGGAATTTTTTTGTGTTTTCCCAGGATTCTGATGGATGAGTCCTAGGCGAGAGTCAGAGCCTTTTTTTCAGATAGTAATTTTATTGTTTCAGCAGCGAGAATAGATTGGGAATGTATTAATTCACCCACTTTTCTCTTCTTACATGCTACAGAACTATCTTGATCCCATCAAGGCGGTGAAGGAGCATTATTTTTATAAGGTTTTTGATGGGAATTGTCTTATTGGCAGCAGATAGAATAGCATTTTTAAAAAGAACCATCATTGAGAAGACAAAGATCTATAGCATTAATGATATCTAAAAATGTAGAGGACCAGTGATCACAAGAATGGGAGCCCCCTATGAAGTATGGTGCATATTAAAATCACGAAGAATGATAGGAAGAGGGATGGAGGATATAATCCTCGTGAGTTCTGATAAGATATTTAAACTAGGTTAAGGAATGTAAATGTTAAGAGGAAATATAATGTCAAATGGCTTAGCAAGATCCTTCGTTATGCCGAAAATATTGCAGCATTAATTTTGAAATAAATATATGGTAAAGTTGAGGATTAATGTTAATGATTATGTTAGACGAAAACACGATTTCGTAAAATTTTCTTGATAGAAAAAAATCCAAAGTTACCTCCAAAATAAACAATAAACCGCTGTTATTCATAAAATACTTTAAATAAGATCATGAAACTTTGCATACTAACTGAACTAACTATAAAGCAGTGCTTGTTATTCTTATGTTATTTACTTTTTTTAAAATACCATTATTTTCACTGTAAAAAGAAATTACCTAAACTATCGGCGTCTTGAGCTTGATTCCAGTCGTCCCGTTAGTATCGCTAAGGCTTTTGAAAGGAGAAGTTGTGTCGCTTACGATCAGAACATACATTACGCAACAGTACGACGTAAAATTAAAATGGGAAATAACCGTGATAAAAATAAGAAGCGGCTGGCTTGGCGTTAAGAAACAGGCATAAATATGATAAACCTAATGAAATAAGTGTCTAACGACCTTTCTACTTACAGTATTAGTGATTACAAACATATCGGTACATAGCATACGACGCGCGGGGAAGTGGGGGCGAAATTAGAATTTGTGCTGACTTACTCTATCCTCTTAAGGAAAGAAATATTATGAGCTATACTATGAGAATGAAGGGAAATTAATGTACAAGTAACCGATTTTGCGATAGTGAAAGAGCCAGCATGACCATCGTCCCTGAGACCACCATCCTATTATCCCTGAGGCATGAATAATCTGAAACCCTAAAATGGGACCCAGGCTTTATCCACGTCTCTTGGATGGCTAGGATAAGAGGATGGTGTTTTTTAATAAGTTAATACGTTTTTCTTACTTTTAATGCTCCGGCAGTTCCACTGAAGTAGGAGGGAAGATTATTCTTTAATGAAATGAGTTTAGTAAGTTTTTAGCGGAGGGCAAGGGGAAAGCATACTTATAAGCATGGTAATCATTAATTCGCAGATATTGTCACTAAGAAAAATACTCCGTCCTATTAAAGCACAACTATTAGTGGTTGAAGAAGATTGGTATTTATGATTGCCACATGTGCAGATTTATCATATCCATGATTTGATGCTGGATTTAGCGGGAGTCTTGGAGTGAATGTAGTCTTCCTGTAAGAATAAATATGTGAGGGACCAACTGAACAAGTTCTGTAAGTATCTGCGTAAGTTCTCCGGACTTGAGCGAAACGGGCAGAAGCTTCCAGATAGGAAATATTTTTCTGGGACATTGTAAATTTAATAGATTTTTGACTAGGATTTTCAGGGCAGGAAGAATTTTTAGCTGTATGAAACCTGAACAAAAAAGGCAAGTGGGAGACTTGTGCATGATATTCCTTCATGTTTTTGAGCACACACGGTACAATGGGAAGATAACCTACACTCAGTAGTTACATGTCCAAAACGACAACATTTGTGACATTGAATAAGTGGTAAAATATAGGGTTCAACAGGCATTGATGTGTAAAAGCAATAAATGTTAGAAAATAGTTTCTAGCCAGAAGAACTTAAAATAACTTTTTGAGAAGGAATCCACACAGTGGTAATTTAAATTTCATTAACTGATTTCCTATTAAATAGGTGAGCTTTGATAATTGCGCTAAAATCAGCGGAGACCTCGATTTATGAAATTAATTCCTCTAATGTTCACTCTACAGGGAACTGCCTCAATATTCCCATGCGAGTGACATTATGAGAGGGGATCATAGTATCATATTTAACACCTGCAAGAGCTTTCTGGGTTCAGAGAAAAGCAATATGCATCAGCTGCACTTTCAATTCGACTGAGATTCTGTTGCGCCCTATCCGCTTAACACCGCCACTAACAACGTTTTTAATATAATTATGGTAGGGAAAATTATCAAACTTTATCGGTTTTGAAACTTGAACTTAAGAATAGTTGCTAATAAAAACCTATTACTGTAAACGTACAAAGCGCTATGCCAGTGCGTTATTATTTATTGCATATGTTCCTGGGGCTGTACTGCAAAAATACTCCTTATAGAATTAGAACGAGCCCAAAGGCCTGTACTAACAGTAGTACTTTCCCTTCCTTTCAGATATTCGACAGAAATGGTATATAAGTTAACTGAAGTACTAAGTGTTTGCAAATTATTCATATATCAATGACTTTGACGCTGGATTTAGCGGGAATTCAAAAAGAACTGTTCGTTTTAGTACCCCGAAGGTAAAATCCATATTCGGCAAAAGGAATTATAATTATCTATTTCCCAAGTTATATAATAAACTAAATAAAAAAGTGTGCACGAGAAATGCATAAAATCATACATTTTTTAAAAGTTTTAGTTTTCGTCGTAGTCGATCAGCTGGTGATCTTCTGGTCTATCTGGCTTATAGATGGGCGGCGTCAGTAATTTCCAAGGAGGAGGCATTGACCGTTAGTTTAGACATTTTCGAAGGCCTTCGATCGGGTTGGTCACAAAGCGCTTCTTTCGAAGCTCCCTTCCTATGGGCTTCCTGAGAAATTGTGCAATTGGATCACCAGCATTCTTGCAGATCGGAGCATTGAAGTCGTTGTAGACGGTGCAAGCTCCAATTACAAGGCTGTTAATGCTGGTGTTTCACAATGCTGCGTGCTATCACCAACGCTGTTTCTTCTGCACACACTACACACATCAATGATATGTTGCAAACCAGCAACATTCATTGCTATGCAGATGACAGCACTGGTGACGCTCTGTACACCGGCCGTGCCAATATTTCTCGGGAAAACGTCTCCGAGTACCAGGACGATCTTGTGACTGAAGTTGAGTCTTTGCTGAACAAAGGCTCGGATTGGGGACTACTAAATCTAGTCCTATTTGACTCTCAGAATACACAAGTTTGCGCGTTAACCGCTAAAAAGAACCCCTTTGTCGTATCTCCTCAGTTTCAAGGCACTCCCTTTGTTGCCTCAGCCAGTATCGGAATCCTCGGCGTCGACATATCGAGTGACCTGCAGTTTCGTGGTCACTTGGAAGCGAAGGCCAAATTGGCCTCTAAAAAGCTTGGCGTGCTCACCAGAGTGAGACAGTATTTCATACTGGCACACCGCCTTCAAATTTACAAGGCACAGGTTCGGCCGCATATGGAATACTGTTCTCATC